GCCGCGTTTACACCAGCATGTTTCGCACTCCCCAGTGGCACGGCCCCACGCAAACGCACTTTCCACCAAGGCCGCGTAAATATGGCCCTGCGACATCACGGACGTAATTCGCCACACGGTCTGCCCACACCCTAGAAGCAATCCTATCGCACGATACTGCGTCCCCAGTGGCACGGCGCCATGCAAACGCACTTTCCACCAAGGCCGCGCAAATCCGCATGGCACTGCGACATCACGGACGTAATGTGGCCACACGTTCTGCCCACACACTAGAAGCAATCCAAGCCTATTACACGACAATCATCCCGCTCACCAGCGACACGCCGCGTTTACACAGCATGTTTCGCACGGCGCCACGCAAACGCACTTCCCACCAAGGCCACGCAAATCCGCATGGCACTGCGACATCACGGACGTAATTTCGCCGCACGGTCAAGCAATCATATCACACGATACCGCCGCACGCTGCGTTTATGTTTCGCGCTCCCCAGTGGCACGGCGCCACGCAAACGTAGTCTCCACGAAGGCCCCGCAAATCCGCGCGGCGCTGCGACATCACGAACGTAATTTCGCCACACGGTCTGCCCACACACTACAGCAATCATATCGCACGATACCGCCAATCATCCCGCTCACCAGCGACACGCCGCGTTTACACCAGCATGTTTCGCGCTCCCCAGTGGCACGTACGGCGCCACGCAAACGCACTTCCCACCAAGACCTCGCAAATCCGCATGGCACTGCGACATCACGAACGTAATTCGCCACACGGTCTCCCCACACACTAGAAGCAATCATATCACACTAGAAGCAAACACTTCTGAGTCCAGCTCCACAACGCTGTTTCCCGGACTACATTTGTACTACGAACTAACTGACCACTTCTGAGTCCAGCTCCAAAAAGCCCTTTCCCGGACTACATTTGCACTACAAACTGGCCAGGCCTGAATCCAGCTCCGAAAAGCTTCTGAGTCCAGCTCCCATAAGCTCTTTCCCGCACTACTACAAACTGGCCAGGTCTGAGTCCAGCTCCACAAGTGAAGCGCCAAGTCTCCAAAATGAGCGTTTCGTACAAGACTTCCTCCAAAAGTGAAGCGCCAAAGCGCCAAGTCTCCAAAACCAGCGTTTCGTACGAGACTTCCTCCAAAAGTGCAGCGCCAAGTCTCCAAAACGAGCGCTTCGTACGAGACTTCCAAAAGTGAAGCGCCAAGTCTCCAAAACGAGCGTTTCGTACGAGACTTCCTCCAAAAGTGAGGCGCCAAGTCTCCAAAACGAGCGCTACTTCCTCCAAAAGTGAAGCGCCAAGTCTCCAAACGAGCGTTTCGTACGAGACTTCCTCCAAAAGTGAAGCGCGACCAATCCAAAACGCAATCACCTGCATTTCGCGCCCTCGACACGCACGATCTCCGGAGAGGGTTGCGCCGGACCGGGCCAAAACGCAATCTCACCTGCATTTCGCGCCCTCGACGCGCACGATCTCCGCAGAGGGTTGCGCCGACCGGGCCAAAACGCAATCTCACCTGCGCTTCGCGCCCTCGACGCGCGCAATCTCCGCAGAGGGTTACGTTTCGTGGTGCTCCGGCGGCGCCGGAACCGCCTTGAGAGAGAAAAAAAGAAGAGCGAGAGGATCCGCAGATGTGAGATGTGAAGATGTAGGTGCGCAGATGTGAAGATGTAGATGTACAGATGTGAAGATGCGCAGATGTGAAGATGAGCAGAGATGTAGATGAGACGTAGTTCTACAGATGCTTTTTTACGAAAAACCCTTCGCAAATGCTCTCGGGAAAAAGAATACACGAAAGTCCTCGGGAAGACCATGTCCCACACGTGCAGATTCCAAATTTTAAGAAACGCTCTCAAAACTCTTCAAACATCAAGGGAAGACAGGCACTGAAGGAATATGACCCGGAAACTATCTAAAATTTAGAAATTAACTAGCTACTTTTTCTACTTCTTCTCCTCTCCCCCGGTCTCTGTGCTCCGGGAGCGGTTTCTGTCAGAGTTGGCCTTTCGGCTGTTGAACTTTTGGAAGCTGTTTGGCCCCCTGGTCTCTTGCCCCCTGCTTGTGCTTCGTGGCGTCGGACGCGTGTAATTTTCAGTATGCAAAAGCTGCTAAAGTGTACGTAACTCTGGGGACACCCCAATTCCTTGTAAATTCTGAGGAGTTGGGCACGTTGCAAAAATGTAAGTTACAATTTGAGAAGTCAAACTTTCTCACATAATCCATGTATTCCCTGTAAAATCTGAGGGTTTGGATGCGTGGACTAATTGTACGTTACAATTTTTGACGTCTGCAAATCTCACCTTTCGTGATTCTGATTCCAAAAGGTGACTTGCAGATTTCATACTCGCCACAGTCTCACATATCCCCCACACATCCCTTCGATCTGCCAACGCACCCTAGGGGGGGTAAACGAATGTAAGCCGACCCCTCCTACGCGGGGGGGTAAAATGTAAGTAAGCACGTCCCAGGCAACAAGTTACATTTTTGTGCCCCCCCTCCCTACCTGTTTCGATGGTGCCTGGGGGGGGGTAACTTACATTTTTTACCCTGAAATGTAACTTGCTTTTTTGAGGTCCCCCCCTCCCGGCAGTAGCTGAAGAGGGTAGGGATCTTCTGGCATTCTGTTTGCTTCTGTCTAGCATATCTTCTGACACGCTTTGGCATTCTATCTGGCATTCTAGCTACCGCATCTTGTGACACCCTTTCTGGCAAATCTTCTGACATGATTTCTGGCATTCTTCCTGCTATACATTCATACATTCTGGAGACGTGATCCGGAGAAGCTCCAAGACAGGGCCGCGAACGACGAATCGCGAATACCAAATCACGAGCCACGCTCAGGGTGCGAGATTTCGAGCCTAGCCTCGCAGACTACGAATCACGAATCGCGAATCACGCTCAAGGGTCACAAGGTTAGAGACACAAACAAGGAATCACTTATATATCGCGAATCACGCTCAGGTCCAGGGGTCTCTAGATTGAAAGACACAAACGACGAATCGCGAATCATCACGTTCAGGGTCAGGGATCTTGAGGCTATGGACGCAAACGATGAATCATGAATCAAGAATCATGCTCAGGGTCAGGGACGATCAGGGATCTTGAAGCACGAGACGAATACGAATCGGGAAGTACGACGCATAAAATGAATTGCGAATCGCCCGGCTGGGTAACGAACCGCCTGGCTGCGAAACACGAAATGAATCACGAACCACGCGGCTGGATAACGACTTCCGGATCACCACTGACATTCTTGCATTCTATCTGGAGAGCTTCTCACATTCTTTCTGGCATATTTTTGGATATGGGATTATTTAGTCGCCCCCTCTCTCAAGCCCCCTAGGAATAATTTGGAAACTGTTCTGCCCCTCCCTCGACATGGTTTTCTGAAAATTATTCTGGGAGTGCTTCAGTTGCTGGAATAATTAATGAGGCATTGCCACAGAACCCCTGCGAGGCCGCACGTAGGAGTAAGCCAACCCCTAATCAGAAGCCTTACTAGTTTTTGCCCTCCTGTATACAATCTACATAACCCACAGACATGATTCCAGGGGTTCAGTTCTGGTAGGGGCCTAGAATAATATCACCTCCCCTGTTTGCGTCTATACCTAACCATGTCTGCCACTATGCCTCAGGAGACTGTATACAGGAGGGCAAAAACTAGTAAGGCCTCTGGTCAGGGGTTGGTATCTTTGGGTTAGTTTAGGATCTAGGAGCGCAAAAAACTAGTAAAGTTTGTGGTGTAGGGTTGGAAAGCTTGCTCAGGTTTGATGTTTTGGGTTGGTTTCTTCTTTCCAGGGACAGACAGGGCAGGTGATATTATTCCAGGGCCCCACCAGAACAGAACCACCCCTGGAATAATTTCTCTTGTGCAGGAAATAGAGAGCAGAATGAAAAATATTAGCAAGTCTTATGGTATGGGTTGGGAAAGCTGGAGGTTTAAGGATTTTGTGATGGGTTTTGGGTGAGGCATAATGGCAGACATGGTTAGGTATAGAGGCAAACAGGGCAGGTGATATCATTCTAGGCCCCTACCAGAACTGAAGAGATTGTATACAGGTTAGGCTGAGTTAGATGAGTTAGCCATCACTGTGTCAGCGAAAGTATGCCAAGGATGGATGGCCTAATGATTATTCTTGAGGCCACCTGACACGTACGTTCTGGCTCTCACGCTTTGATGCCCTCCTCAATCTACATCATTCTACTCTACCTAGTGCTGTCATCTGCTATGTTTTCACTGTGCTCCTTTTGCATTCCCCTGCCAAAAGAGCTTCGAGGCAGCGTCGACCAATCATGACCAATCAATGCTTTCTGACAATTCACATCAACTCACTGACCTCTAGTTATAGAGATTTTGTTGAAAATTATTCCAAGGGACCCTTGACCTACCCCAACCTTCTGAAAATATATTCCCTGGAATAGTTAAATAGATTATATATCTATTTTTGGTCCTTTCTGGCATGCCTTCTGACATCCTATCTGGCAAGTCTTCTGGCATCCCTTCTAAAAGTCTAATTGGCCCATCGGTTGGCATTCCACACTTTGTCATCTTTATCTTCGGACACCCTTTCTGCAATATATTCTGCCAAATAATTTTGGCGCATCTTATGAAATTCAAACCGGCATATCTTCTGACTTCTGACATCCTTTCCTGCATTCTATGTGGCGTGTCTTCCGGCGTTTGAACTGGCACATCATATCTTCTGACATCCTGCCTGGCATTCTACCATGAGCTCTGACATTCGTTGTGATACAAGGTCCGACTTCGGCTCGTTCTAACGTGTGCGCTGCCAAGTGTTGCGGCAATTGCGCTGCCATTTGGCCTATACAGTTAAATATATCGGCATTCTCTGGCATCCTTTCCGGCATTCTATGATTTCTGGCACGTATTCTGTCTGGCATTCTATCTAGAACATTCTAGAACATCTTCTGGCAGTCTATCTGGCACTTCGGCGGACATCCTCTCTGCCATTCTGTCTGGCATATGTTCTGGCCTGGCATGTTCTAGCTGGCAAACCTTCTGACGCCCATTCCGTCACTCTATCTGGCAAACCTTCTGACATCCTTCTGGGCCTCCTGGCGTTCTCTTTGGTGTGTCTTCTCGCTTTCTCACTGGCATATCTTAAGTTTTAAGTTTTTTGTTCACCCAGGGTGTTTCTAAAGGAATTCTCGATTTGTCTACTCCTTTGCTATTGTTGCCCTTGAAAACCCTTGCTAAACTAGAACGACTACCTACTACTGCTACTACTACCACTACCACCAAATTGTTTTTGTGGGGGCGCTGCTTTTCAGACTCCCTAGATTATTTGCAAGGGGGGAAGGTTATGCTAGTTAAGATCAAACATTGCCTGGCGTATCAGATCTTGTGACACCCTTTCGGGCAATCTACCTGGCATTGGGTGGCCGTCCGAATCGGACACCGGGAGTCGGTCACCAAAAACGCCGAAGTGGTCACAAACAAAATCGAATCGGTCGCCAAACCCCGAGATATCGCGAAAGCTTCTGCAACCAGAACAACCCAAGCCAAGCCAACCCGAATCGGTCATCACGGAAGGCTGAAGGAAAAAAGCCGCGGAAAAAAACAAACAAAGCCCCCAAAGAAGACAAGCCCTAAGCCAAACCCAAAGACACCCCAAGCCAAACCCAAAGGAAAGCCTAAAGAGGTAAAGCCCGAAGCCAACCCCAAAGACAGCCTAAAGAAGTGAAGCCCAGCCCCAAGACACAAACGCTAAGCCCTGTCGCGGGGTAACTGGTCGCTGTTTCGTGGAACATGATCGCTGATTCGGAATCGCTGGTTCGTGGTCGCTGATTCGGAGTTTTTTCACCTGGCAAGTCTTTTGGACATCTGGAATGGCATGCGTTCAGATCCGCGCGTGCCCAGACTGAACTGGCGGACTTGATGGTGCAGAGGTCCGTGCCCAACTGAGCCGGCACCCGCGGTGGCGCGATGGCCAAAGGCAAGCTGAAGGAGCGAAGGAAAGAGCAGCACCTTTAGTTAAAATTGACCCTCACCTGTCGCCGCCTGTCGCCTAGGAGGTGGGGAAAAATGCTTACAATATCTTAGAGTCGATTTTGATGCTGGCGACTGTCACACAACGGCTTGCCTCTGAGGGGCCCTTGCAAAGGTGAGGAAGGTCTTACGACGCTTGGGCGGCGAAAGGGCCCAGAGACAGCAGGCACAGGAGGAATGTCCTCTTGGCTTATTTCCTTTTCCAGCATGCGGGATGTCTGCATCTCTCGGACGCGGGCCAACTTGAAGCTTCGGTCCTCACATGCAGGCAACCAAATGGAACATGGAACCCTCTTGGTTTCTCAGTGCCTGAATGTGCAGATCTCACCATGGCCCATGGACCCAAAAGCCAAGTTGCTTCCACTTCCGACAGCCTGGCCCTTTCTTTCAAGAGGCTATACCTTTGTCGGGAAACTGTCCGCACTGCAAACAAATGTCAACGAAAACACAAATGCAAGCATGTTCAACGAACAGTTGTGAAACTGTAAGCTTGGCAAAGTGGCAGCGGGGTTCCAAGCTCAGCAGCTCTCCCCCTAGAGATTTCCCTCATCAAGTGCATGTGCGCAGTGGATCTGACCCCCTCTTCTCCTGTAGCAGCTTTTGCCGTGACAGCTTGCTTGTAAACACGTGGAAGTGAATCGCAGGTGCTTGAAGTGCACATGAAAAAGAAATGCGATGGTGATCCTCAGTTTCCTGAATTTCAACTGAAAGAAAACATACAGGGGAGCCCCAAAATTATAGATCCCCATCTGTCAGAACACCTCAGCCGTGATAGCAAGAGTCCCCGTAACACAAGTGTGTATCCTAGTACGTCGCTACATGTTTAGGTCTGTCATGTACAGGTTGCGTGTTCCTCAAGATTCTCTGTGAAGCACCTGGCATACTGGGTCACACGAAGAAACACTTTGCACGTGTACTACTTTGGAAAGCTAGGTCATACTTCACAATCCTTCTTCGTGATAGTAACATTGGCTACATGCCGGCAGTGCATGCTTTCTTCTTGCTTTTTCATTTTATTAAACCTGCTGGTCCGCAAAGGATGACACGCGCAAAACGAAAGGTGTACCAAAACGGACACTTGAAACGAACCCAACTGAGACGGTTGGAAGCCGCTTTTGCACAAGCCTGAAAAAGGTTTTCAGGCTGAAACCTTCAGGTTATGAGCCCAAGGTTGAAGGCGTAAGACCCGGCTTGAGGAGGTTGATCGCTGGGCCGCCCTGCGCAAGTGAAGCCATGTCGGTCATGGCGAGGCGCCGACGTCAGGTGCCTGGCGAAGGTGGAGAAGATGATCCTGACGATCAAGGACGCCTCCATCTACAAGATCGGCAGCTGGAAGAAGAGCAACTTGCTCTGGAGGATGGTGAAGATGGTGGGGAAGACGAGGCTTTGGAGGGGCCAAAAGGACCACCAACGACCTTGACACCGATGACCCCACTCTTCACGGCGGAACAGCTGAAGGGACTTCATGAAGTGCAGAGCCAAGCTCCTCACCTATATGCTCAAGTTCCGAGGCAGAGTATTTGGCAGCCTGGAATGGCGAGCAGATCTCCGGAGGAAGTGAAAAGGGACAGGCCGCAGTTCCTACCAAAGGAAGAAGGTATGGCTGGGGCACTTCCACAGACGAGTACAACGACAGAGACACCTTCACCTATGCTAGCAGGAGATCATGTATAAGAGGACCAGCGACGTGGGCGACCTAGAGAACCACGGGTACCTGAAGCACATGAACCTGGAAGCGAAAGTGATGGTCAAGAACAAGTCCCGATCCGAGAACAGATGATGGTTCAAGTTCACGGCAATGGACCTGGAGGACGAGGCTTACATGTTCCTAAGGGCTTTGGACAGAATGGGCCACCGGGTTACATCATGCCTCATGAAGAGAGGAGAGGACCAATGCCGCATCAAGGTGGATGGCAGGTTCAACTTCATCCATATGGCCCTGGTCCGCCGAACCCGCAAGAAATTATGACCATGTTGGCGATGTTGAAACAAGAGAATCAACAACTACAGATTCAACAGGCGGAGCTCATGGATGCAATGAAGTACCAGCGGGCGAGCCTGGAAGCCAAGGTTCATGACCTTCAACGCGAGCTGGAGCAGCAGGCCTTCAGGACGCCAGAGAGCGATGAGTCTGTGAAGCGACAGCTGGAGATGAGCCCCCAAAAGAGACGGATTTGGAGGTGGAAAGACGTCGCCTGTACGAGTTGACCCCCATGCAGCAGTTCGAGCAGCTCCAATCCTTGATGGGGACGGTCACTCCGACGCCGGCGAAGCGAGGTGGTCGAGGGCAAGGGCAACGAGAGAGATCGAGATCTCAAGGTCCAAGAACCGCTCGTCAAGGAGGAGGTCAACCTGACGGCTTGGTGGCAACTCGGGCGAAGGGATTCGAACCGGACGGGAGGCAAGGAACTAGAAAGGGAGTTGGCCAGGCGAAGAAGAAGTCTGTTGCTGAACATCCTGGTCGTTCTTCTGCTGCACCCGCCAGGGAAGACCCATCTGGTGAAGGTGGAGGCGGCATGGTCGATGCCATGTCCATACTTGGTGGACAAAGAGAAGAAACAAAAGGGACCCGAGTCGGTCAAGCCGGGAACGGTCACACTCCCAGTCCTGGCAGAGCCATCCGACACGGCTCAATCGACTCGGCCGACTGGCTCACCATGGTGGAACCGGCGATGACAGACCTCAGCGACTCGTCGGGTGAGTGGTGGGAGTTGGTGGTGAGCGAAGCGAGATCCTGGTACAAGCAGTACATCAAGCTTCGACCGATACAGAGGGCTGCATCCAAGATCGAGCCATCTGCAGAATCCGCCGACCCCAGCCTAGGCGGGAGGCGCCTGGGACACCGCAGGGTGCAACCTTGGCATTGGCATCTCCACCTTTGTGGCCTTTAGCACAGGCTACAGCTAGCCTGTCCGAAGCCATGCAGCCTACAAACCCTCCCGAGCCTCGGGAAGCTGTCACCTCGGCCTGCACCTCTTTTCTTTACAGGGTCCCGAAGGTGACGTCCAGGCGCCCTCAAACCCTCCGCAGCGCCTTTGGCCTACTCCTGCATCGCAGTCTTGCCTGCGTCAGGCGGGAGCCTGGGGAGGGAGCCTCTGGCACGTGCAGCCCGCGCACTGCAGCCTTAGAACCGAGCCTCTGGAAGCTGCCACCTCGGCCTGCGCCTCTTTTCTTTAGGGTCCCAAAGGTGACGTCCAGGCGCCTTTAAACCCTCCGCAGCGCCTTTGGCCAGGCTACAGCTAGCCTGTCCGAAGCCATGCAGCCTACAGACCCTCCTGAGCCTCTGGAAGCTGTCACCTCGGCCTGCACCTCTTTTCTTTAGGGTCCCGAAGGTGACGTCCAGGCGCCTTCAAACCCTCCGCAGCGCCTTTGGCCAGGCTACAGCTAGCCTGTCCGAAGCCATGCAGCCTACAGACCCTCCTGAGCCTCTGGAAGCTGCGGCCTGCACCTCTTTTCTTTAGGGTCCCGAAGGTGACGTCCAGGCGCCTGCAAACCCTCCGCAGCGCCTTTGGCCTACTCCTGCATCGCAGCCTTGCCCGCGTCAGGCAGGAGCCTGGGGAGGGAGCCTCTGGAACGTGCAGCCCGTGCACTGCAGCCTTAGAACCGAGCCTCTGGAAGCTGCCACCTCGCCCTGCACCTCTTTTTTTTAGGGCCCCGAAGGTGACGTCCAGGCGCCTTCAAACCCTCCGCAGCGCCTTTGGCCAGGCTGCAGCTAGCCTGTCCGAAGCCATGCAGCCTACAGACCCTCCTGAGCCTCTCAAAACTGTCACCTCAGCCTGCACCTCTTTTCTTTAGGGTCCCGAAGGTGACGTCCAAGGGCCTTCAAACCCTCCGCAGCGCCTTTGGCCTACTCCTGCATCGCAGTCTTGCCTGCGTCAGGCGGGAGCCTGGGGAGGGAGCCTCTGGCACTCCTGCATCGCAGTCTTGCCTGCGTCAGGCGGCACCTGGGGAGGGAGCCTCTGGAACGTGCAGCTCGTGCACTGCAGCCTTAGAACCGAGCCTCTGGAAGCTGCCACCTCGGCCTGCACCTCTTTTCTTTAGGGTCCCGAAGGTGACGTCCAGGCACCTTCAAACCCTCCGCAGCGCCTTTGGCCAGGCTACAGCTAGCCTGTCGGAAGCCATGCAGCCTACAGACCCTCCTGAGCCTCTGGAAGCTGTCGCCTCGGCCTGCACCTCTTTTCTTTAGGGTCCCGAAGGTGACGTCCAGGCGCCTTCAAACCCTCCGCAGCGCCTTTGGCGTACTCCTGCGTCGCAGTCTTGCCTGCGTCAGGCGGGAGCCTGGGGAGGGAGCCTCTGGCACGTGCAGCCCGCGCACTGCAGCCTTAGAACCGAGCCTCTGGAAGCTGCCACCTCGGCCTGCGCCTCTTTTCTTTAGGGTCCCGAAGGTGACGCCCAGGCGCCTTCAAGCCCTCCGCAGCGCCTTTGGCCAGGCTACAGCTAGCCTGTCCGAAGCCATGCAGCCTACAGACCCTCCTGAGCCTCTGGAAGCTGTCACCTCTCTTTTCTTTAGGGTCCCGAAGGTGACGTCCAGGCGCCTTCAAACCCTCCGCAGCGCCTTTTGCGTCGCAGTCTTGCCTGCGTCAGGCGGGAGCTTGGGGAGGGAGCCTCTGGAACGTGCAGCCCGTGCACTGCAGCCTTAGAACCGAGCGTCTGGAAGCTGCCACCTCGGACTGCGCGTCTTTTCTTTAGGGTCCCGAAGGCAACGTCCAGGCGCAGTCCTGCACCACAGCCTTGCGCGGCTCCCGTTTGCCCGGTGGTTTCATGGCTTCCGGATGATTGGTCTATACTCTATTTCTTTGTTTCGTGCTTGCGCTCTTGAACTTGCCACGTGTTTTTCGGGCATGGTTTTCCCGCTGGCGTGTTGTGTTGGCACCGAACGCGCCCAAACAACTGTGATGACCAGACCACAGTCTGGCACGCTGGGCATGTATGCGGATGCTGCCGCGTCAGCGCGCTAACCGTGCCTTCTTTCACATAGAATTGGTTGCCGCACACGAGTCGGTGATCTATCCGCCCTGTCCTCACGTTACCCACAGTTCCATCGCAAAATGGACACGCATAGACTAAGTTCTTGGCGGCAACGTGCCCGTCTTTGACACGAAAAAACTTCCCGCATGCACGGCGGTGATCTACTTGGCCTGTGCGCACAGTGCTGGTCACAGACACCGCACAAAAAGGACACGCATATTGGAACATTTCCTCGGCGGCCGTCTGTCCAGCCAACTTTGCCGGCGGTGCGTTTGTCGTCTGCGCGGGTGTCGGGGTGGCTTGCGTCTCTTGTTGCGGCTTTGCCTGCACGTTTCCTCGTGGCGACGGCGCTGTCCTGGCTTTGGCGTTTGTGCCCGTTTGGGTTTCGCTTGGCGCTAGACCCTTGTCACTTCCCTGTTCCCTTTTCTGTTTGTGGTCTGTGCACACGTGGCTGCTCACCGACACGTGTTTTGCGCGCTTCGCTGCAGGCTCTGCCTGTGCTACTTGCGTTGTCTGTGTGCGGGGCTGGGTCTTGGTGGGCGTCAGCTGTCCTTGCTGGTCTCGTTGTGGTTCCAGGCGGCGTTTGCGCGACGGCACGCTGTTTGTGGAGAGCCTTTGTGCCTCAGGCGCCGTCTTGCTTTGGGCCATCTGGCTTTCTTTACTCCGGTTCGGCTCCTGCGCTCGGGGAGCGAGCACCTCATGCGCGTCTTGCTTCTTTCGCACGCGGTTAGCGATCTCTTCCCGTACAAGACCTATGATTTGCTTTCTCTTTTCTTCGGCAACTTTCGTCCGCGTAGCAGCTAGGCGCCGTATGGCTCTTTGGGAGACACTTCGTAGCAACTGCGGCCCGTGGCAGCTGTAGACCCGTGCATCCGCCCGGGCAAGCCGTCGTCTGGGCCGGGCAAGGCTGTTGTTGGCGCGCTGCGCCGCTGCGCGCTTGGCCGCGCCCCGGACACAAGCGTTGCTAAAGTCTACGCGCGGTTTCCGCTCCGTGCACCCGGCGCTGCGCCAGGTGCCCTGTCCTTTCACGGCGCATGCCTTGCAGACACGTCGGTCTGCACGTCTTGCCTTCCACGCGGTAACCCCAAAGGCAGCCTCCGCCTTTGCCACGCGGCACCGGAAACACGGCTTCACTTGGCTCGCGCAGTCTCTACAGAGACGTCGGTCTGCGTGGTGCGTTGTTCCACGCGGCCGCCCCGAACGCACTTGCCGGCTTGGCCGT